GTGGATGAGAATGCCCCGTCCGTGGGGGGTTGAGTGTCGGCGTTGAACGTGGATGAGAATGCCCCGTCCGTGGGGGGTTGAGTGTCGGCGTTGAATGTGGACAGGAATGCCGCATGTGCAGCCATGTGTGCAGTTTTTCGCTAGCGTTGATTTCTCAACAGCAGCCAGGGGAAGCGTGGCTGTGCCTGGCCTATATCTGACTATCATTCGTTACTCAGCTGCCTGGCTCTGTTGGCACCGTGCTGTAAGGGTGACCAGCATCCTGACCCATTAAGCTTGATGGGCCTTTATTTGATAAATGGGTCTGCACTGGTTCAGGAAAGTGCCAGAGAAGGCTCTTTTGAAAAATAAAAGAATGTTTATTTAATTGTTGTGCATGCCGTTGAGTTGATTCCGACTCATAGCAATGCCATGTGACAATCCCACAATCCCCATGGGATTTCCTAGCCTGTTGTTGTTTGTTTGTTTGGATATTTTACTGTGCTTTGGGTGGAAGTTTGTGCAGCAAATTAGTTTCCCACCAGTAATTCATGTACAAACTGTTCTTGACATTGGTTGTGATCCCCACAGTGTCAGCCTCTCCCCGTTTCTACCCCGGGTTCTCTGTTTCCATTCATCTGGCTTCCCTGCCTCCCCTGCCTTCTCATCTTGGCTTCTGGGCAGATGTTGCCTTTTGGTCTTGTATAGGCTGTGACTTTTATGAGAGCAGGTCACCAGGTCTTTCTCCTGCTGAGCCACTGGGGGGATTTGAACCACCAACCTTTCAGTTAGCAGCTGAGAGCAAAATGCATGTAGCATACAATTCGCCGTCCTGCCCTTTTCAAAGTGTACAATTGAGCAGCGTTAGTTACTTTGACATGGCTGTGCAACCGTCACTACCATCTGTGTCTAGGACGATTTTGTCCCCCTGACCGGAAACTCCCCCTATCAAGCAGTAACTACCCCCCAGAGAAGTCTCTGTGTAAACAGGTGGATTCACGTTCCTTTGCAGTGTTAACATCTAACCTGCAGTTGATGGGAATCTGTGGCAGAGTGTGGTGTGTGCATGACATTGGACTTCTTGGTCATAGTGTTTTGCTTGGTTCCTGGAGAGCTGGCCAAGCTCACTTTGAGCGCTGTAGCCTGCGTCTTCCTGGCGTGTGGTGGTTTTGCTGCTTCCCAGGTGTGAGATGTATCTGGGGGATGTTGGCCCTTGGGGGGCTGACTTACAGAGTCAGCCTCCATAGTGTTCCAAACCATGGCCTGTCCTGCTGGAAGCTTTGTTTTAAAGTCATCAGCAGTAAGATGCTCAGACATGAGAAGGCCAGTGTTCAGATAACTTTCTGAATAGCCATGGTCACTGGACATTTGCTGTGATCCCTCGTCACTCTGGTTGGTGGTGGTACCTGAGGCTGGGAGTGATGCTGGCCGCCAGGGCCACAGGGGAGCAGGTGGCTCTGCCTTCAGTGGCCTTGTTGGGAGGTGCTGTTGTGTCTGTTCTGGCTCATGGCAAAGCCAGGTGACAGAGGAGAACTGCCCCACAGGGTGTCGTAGGCTGTCATCCCTAGGGGAGCAGCTCTCCAGCTCCTTCCTCTCAAAGAGCCTCTGGGTGGGTTGGAACCACCCACCTTTCAGTATTAGCCACGTGCTTAACCATTGTGCCACTAGGTTCACCAGGTCTGTTGCAGACCAGGTGGGAGACTCTGGTCCAGGCCAGTGGGAATGAGTGCCTTCAAGGACAGGTGTGCATAGGAGCGAGAAATGACGTGGGGCAGGCTTAATTGAGCTGTGCCTGAGGGTATGGCTTGACGTTGATGTCCAGGGACAGGTAAGGTTCTGATGGTGACGTCTGAGGGCAGGTGAGGTCTGATGGTGAGGCTGCGTGCGTGGTGACGTTGGTGTCTGAGGGCGGGTGAGGTCTGACGGTTAGGCTGCGTGCGTGGTGACGTTGGTGTCTGAGGGCGGATGAGGTCTGACGGTTAGGCTGCGTACATGGTGACGTTGGTGTCTGGGGGCGGGTGAGGTCTGACGGTGAGCTGCGTGCGTGGTGACGTTGGTGTCTGAGGGCGGGTGAGGTCTGGTGATGAGGCTGCGTGCGTGGTGACATTGGTGTCTGAGGGCAGGTGAGGTCTGACGGTTAGGCTGTGTGTGTGGTGACGTTGGTGTCTGGGGGTGGGTGAGGTCTGACAGTGAGCTGCGTGCGTGGTGACATTGGTGTCTGGGGGCGGGTGAGGTCTGGTGATGAGGCTGTGTGTGTCTGAGGGCAGGTCAGATCCATGCTGTAACATCACACCCAGGCCCTATTTGGAGAGTGATGTACACAGGTCACCCTTATGGCCGAGCATTGTGTGTGTGTCCTCTCTTCCCCGAGACCTAGTGTCATCACCACCTTTTTCTCTAGTTGAGGAAACTGAGGAACAGTAATTAAGCAGAGCTCTTGCATGCTACCCATGGAGATGAAGACGAGGTCTTGGTGGGTCTTAGAGGAGAGGTGTTTTGAGGCTCGAATCCATCTGCAGCCTTGTCCAGGAGGCGTGGGAGTCGGATTTCATGAAGAAGGAAGTAGCAGGCCCTGGTGGCACAATGGTTAAGCGCTCAGCTGCAGACCGAAAGGTCAGCAGTTCAAACCCACTCAGTGGCTCTGTGGGAGAAAGGACCAGGCAATCCACTCCTGGAGAGGTTTCAGCCTAGGAAACCCTGTGGGGCAGTTCTGCTCAGTCTTCGGGGCACTGTGAGTCGGAGTCGCCTGCGTGGCACCTCACACCAGGCAGGAAGAGAGCCTTTGACGCCTTGGACAGAGGGATGAGGTGTTATAAGTGGGTCTGGTCAGTGGGTGGCTGGCGCAGCCCTGGCAGAGTGGCCCCATGAGGCATCCCAGTTGAAGCACTCGAGGTATGAGGACTCCTCCTGGGTGTTTATTACAGAGGTGCCTCCAACCTCCTGAAGCTAGACCATGACACCTCCCAGGCCACGGCTCCTGCCAGGGTCTGTGTGTGCCCACTCCGTGCCCAGAGAAGTGCCCACCTGCAGGGTGGGTAGTAACCATTTCTGAATGTGTGAGGGTGCCAGTTAGGCTCATCCCCGCTGACTGCTTACTCGGTGGAGTCACTGGGTGGGGCCCTGTGGTCGTCTGGCCCGGGGCCCGCTGTGATTTGAGGGAGTAACTTGTCCTGACCCTACTCCTACACACGTCTCCTTTCCATTTG